ACATCAGACATCTGGCAAGGCACAGCAGAACTGAAACTGAACTGAGTGTGACATTAAGTGTTTAATGACACCTCACATCGAAACAGTACTTAACTTGCAACTTTGTTGTGCCAGGACCAGGGATGCTGGAGTCGCGTCGTCTGCTTGCAGGGTGGGTCAGGATCAGGAACCAGAAGTGCCAACTGCTTTTCTCTCCTCTCTCCTCGCTTGAAAGGAAGTGGGGCAAGGGAGGGGCAGGATGCAGGACACCAAATAGGCACTGTTGAAATTTAATTTAGGCAATTTAAAAGAAAAGTGACAGACTATTGAGGGCGCCAAGGGGCGGGAGGCATTTGAGGAGGCATGCCAGAAAACATTGGATAGGGGTAAACATGTTGTGGGAACATGTGGGCCATAGGAGCCATTTGAGGGTACATTGGCATTTGGTACGCAAGTGATGGCACCGCGGGAGGGGGTACCTGAACTTGCTTTAACTGCAAAAGTTCACGCTCCAACCGAGCAACTTTAGACTCGTAGCCTTGGATGTGTCCTTTCAAAACCTCTACTTTTTGACGCAACTTAACAAGTTCTGTCTCCTGCGGAGACTGGCGTTTAGGCTGCTTAGCTGCTTGTGGAGGGCGAGCCGGGGGGTTGGGTGCGGCGCGCTTGGGCGCCTTCTTCTTTCTGGGATGCTGGGGAGGCTGCTTCCGGGGCTGCTGTGGCCGCTGAGGCGGCTGAGGCTGTTGAAGCTGCTGAGGCTGCGGCTTCTTCGCAGCGAGCTTAGGGATCCGGGAAGGCCCCTTCTGGCGGGCCACTGCAGCACTAGGGGCAGCTCCAGGGGCGGCACTAGGGGCGACGCCAGGGGCGGCGCCGGGGGCGGCACCAGCGGCGGTACCAGGGGCGGCATCAGGGGCAGTACCAGGGGCGGTACCGGGGGTGGCACCAGGGGCGGTACCAGGGGCGGTACCAGAGGCGGCACCAACGGACTCAGGTGCAGCCGCACGCACCGGGAGGGGAGGGAAATCCCCGAAACTGAGGCCCATCGAGTTGCCGACAAAACGGTACGGCACGTCGGTTTCCATTCTCGATTCTAGAGCCATCCGGTCCAGGTCCGAGGCCAGAGAGCAGGTGGAGGCGGGGGATTCTGGGCCGTCGAGGATGTTGAAGGACACTGGACAGGACAAGGATCAGGGCAGGAAAGTTAACCATTTGCCATTTTGGCCCAGCAGGTGCGAACCGACAGCAGCCAGCCGATCCACGTGCACGATGAGGCGCTTAGGGGGCTTGGCCCTCTT